GTAACTTTTATTTTATTTTTTTGTTCATTAGTCGAATAAAATTTCATTCTCGATATTTATATAAAATTTTATTCGAATAATATTTCACTCGAATAATATACATGGAATTATATGTATATCCATCTTTACGATGACATAAATATATTCCTTAACATGTAGTAAATATACAATTAAGTTAATCAATAAAGTTAATCAACAGTAATAATAAAGTTATACAATAAATAAACAATAAAATTAAACAATAAACAATAAAGTTAATCAACTTTTTAATTATTTATTTTATTATTTTAATCTATAATCTTATTTTATTATTTTAATACAACAATTAAAATTAAATATTGTAATACACACGAAATAAGATACGACACGGTATGCCTGGTAAGAGGACAAAAACAATAAACAAAATATAAAACATACATCTTCCACGCGTCTTTTTTTCGTTTTAGGCGTAAGAAAGAAAAAACATAACAGAGTACAGCACCTTATACCGTTTGTTTTCTTTTTTATATCGTTCTAACATTACTTGTTATATACTGGGTGAACCATTTAAGACTGGAATTACAATATTTTTGAAATTGTTAATTATATTGAAAAAAGATTTCAAAGGAGATTCGTTCTATCCCGAGGGGAAAACAGATAGATGATTCAATATCGAGTTGTTATTATTATTTTTCGTTTATTTAATTAACTCTCATAAAAAAAATGAAAATGTAGCAATTAAAATTGTTATTTAAAATTAATTATTTATTATTTATATTCAGAATTATATTATTATTTATTATTTAAAATTGAAATTATTTAAAATTATATTATTTATATAAAATATACAATTTTTTCCCTTTATTATCTAAAAGTTATTTTGTATACTGTTTCCTATATTAAATTGACAATTATCTGTATTCCTCTTGTAAAGAGATTTTTATTTCATGACTGATATTTGAACAGTTATGGTCTATTCTCAATGTGACACAACGAGTTTCGTAACATATATAAATATGTCAGATAGAGACTGATAAATAATCGACTTGCGATGATTGCTCTCAGGTAGTGCTATGACATGTAAACACTATTTCATATTACATGTATCGAACAGTAATGTGTCGGAAATATTTGCCATGAGGCGAATTTCATCGAAGAAGAAATATGACGAAGAAATTCTGGACGAAGTTTTTCGATGAAAGTCTTACGACGAGAACTTCTACCACAACTCTAAAATAAGGAAACAAAATTAATAAAAAAACATACATTAAAAAGTCTTTCTGCTGAGTTTAACACATCTGTAGCATGTACTGAAGTACGAGATGGGTCACATCGAACATTTTCTTCAATCATCTATAATTCGAAGACTAAGTTAGGATATAAATATAGACATATATGATTATTTTTTTACTATGTAGATTCATGAATGAGAGTATGAAAATACATTTATTAATCATCTGTATATATTTATTATTAATTTATTACTAATATATACTATATATTTACTAATATAATGTATACTATATTTTTGAAATACATATAATAGTTTAGCTTAATTTTTAAATTTACCCATTGCTAAAATTCTCAATTTTATCTTCTGCTGCCGAAATTGTACGACACATTTTTGTTTTGCTTTTCATTATCTTAGAGCCTACAAGTTCTAAAAGGTATTCAAGATCACTTTGATCATCTAGAGTTTAAATAATAATATTTCATAAACACCAAGTTCAAATCTTTCCAGTATTTAATTTCTGATTCATACTTTCCTATTTTCCTTTTTAAAGTAATTGTTGTTTTGTGCAACAGTACATTTAACTTGCTGAGCCTTTGATCAACAGAAATAACAGAAATTAATTCTCTTGTAGAATTTGCATTTTGATTAATATAGACACCACCGACATTTATTAAGCAAAAAGTTGCTTTTTGCAATTTCTTTGCGAAGAAGTTACATCAATATTTATAGAAAATGTACACATCTTTATGTCGCTACTTGTGAAAACGCCAGTGGATACATGTATAAGAAAAAAATTATTCAAAACATATTTAAAAATCAAAATCGATGAGACATCTATTGACATATCTTATAATGCTCTTTTTAAATCATAATTCTTGTCTGAAATATGATATACGTATATATGTACATAAGTAAAATGAGTGTTAAAATGTATAATTTTTTATCTGGCACAAGTGCAATGGTATGAGAATCGCAAAAACAAAAATATCCTTTTTCATTACATCGGTACAAACGCATCTGTGCCAGTCGCTCAATTGTTCAGTATACAATATTACACGTAGTATGCTATCATCTGTCAAAACGAAAGTTGTGTAAAGAAGTCGAAATCAAATCAATTTTTGCAATGAATGAAAATTTACTTTCGCTGATAGGGGAAATTCTTTTAACATAATTAAATTAAAATTAAATTAAATAAAAATTCTTTAAATAATATAAAGAGATTAAAATAATCCTGAAAATAACTGTTTCAAACTGTTATATATTTCGAAAAGATATAAAAATATAAAAATCGGAAAAAACATTTCGGTTCTGAGCGATATTATATTAGTTCTATATCGGTTCTGTAACTTTAATTTCTTCTGTTCTGTACATTTCTGTATATTTCTGTACTTTAATTCTGTGTTTCAATTCTAATAATATATAATCATTATATTATATATATTGGTACACAGCCCCGAAATTATTGAAATGAAATCAAATATCGTAATTTTCTTTCAGCATCATACGTTTCGAAATATTTTCAAACGAACAATATCACACTTTTTCTTGCTCATCGTAATAATTGTTAATAACATATGTATTATTCTTTATTCTTTATACAATATGATTATTATTAACATTAACATTATAATACTAACTACTAATATTAAAAAATTAAATTATATAATAATATAAACATCAATACTGACATTAAACATTAATGACATTGAAATTCAAGTGTAGTTAAAATCTCGAAAAAGATTGTTTTTTGGCTAAAATACGGTTTTCTTGAAAAGAAAAATGAAAACCAAGAAAAAATGGATAAAAGCAAGAAAAACAGAGAAAAGAAACTCGAGCATTGCAAAAACGTGGATTCATACAGATACTGCCATATAAGCGAGTTGCTATTAGCTAAATACGAATCGAAAGAAGTTATGAAAAGAAAAAGGAAACGTAAAGAACATATAACAATATTATATATTAACTATTAGCACTATTTAACTATATAGTGCTATAGAATTAGAACCTAGAATTGAATAGTTATGATATTTTTCCAATTCTTCGCAATTATTTCAAAAACTGAAATCGATACTAGTCCTTAATAAAAAAAAAAAGAAAAACAAAGCAGATAAAATACATATATAAAAATTGGAAAAGATTATTGCAGAATGATGAAGAAATATGTTTTTTAGATTAAATGTACCGGTAATTATAAAAGTAGTTTAAGTCAAGAATTAAAAAAAAAATAAGTGGCGTTATATTTTTTCAAAATAAAATAATTTGATATAATTTCTAAAAAGCTGTAAAAATTGAACCGTCAAATTGAGTTAGTTGTTGCGTCGTTAAACGGAATTCAGTTAATGTTCATTTTGATAATGGACTAAGTCAGTTGTTTATGGAAAAATAATTAATTATTTTACTATCACGTATCCAGAAAAATTGTTGCCGATTTTTATTGGTCATGATAATTATTCTAGGGATTTTTCTGATTAACTAATGTATGTATGATCATAAATTTTTGGTATCTGGCCATTCATTTTTGCAGAATGACTGTGATTTTGGCTCGTTAGAAATGAGAATGAAAAGAAAAACGAATTACTTATACATTCTTGAACATTATTTTGAACTAACAGATCTATGTAGAAAAAAAGAATCCATTTTTGGTACAACGAATGAAGCAGAAGAATTTTATTTCAGTAAAACAGCTGGAAAATTCAGTAACAAGAAGAACAAAAAATATACGAAAATATCCATCTAGCTCCATTATACACCACTATTAGAGCAATAGCAGAAGAAAAATATAAAGATATTAAGGATTTATTACTCTATATCCTATTAATTTACCAGAAATATTTTAAATCACTCAAAATCCCATTTCCGAAAGATGAGAAGAAAATAAAAAATGATAAGAATTAATTACTTAGAAACATAATTAAAAAATATGAATTAATAGATTTGACTTGAATTATTTTTCATGATAAAATTCGTTGTTTTTTTATTATTGTAAATCAGTTTTAAGACATTCAGTTAATTTTGAAAATGGTTTAAATCATTTCAAGCTTCAAAAATCATATTTCCTTATGAGCTACATACAAAATTTTACAGTCATAATAAATTCTTATCTTACAAGACCAAATATTTCCTGAAATATTTTGTTTCATAGTATAAAAATATTTTTTTAATTTATTCAACCGCAAACCTTTAAATATCTCGAAACGAAAAATGTATGACTTAGGCCACAAATATAAAACCAGTAGGTTTTATTGTAGAACCTGTTAATAATAATCTAAAGAAAGTGTTATTCTGTGTAAAATATTTCATTTCGAAGGAAAAATTGCACTTTTTAACAGTGAAGTAAATTAATTGATCAAAAATAAGTTTTGTTGTTGTACAATACAATTTTACTACAAATTTTGATATGTTAGATAAGTATTATTTTTTTATATATTATTTTATTAATAAATCGCGACTGAAGCGTCAGGCTGCGGTTACGTCTAGCTTGCTTCTAAAGTAGGCGATCGTCAGACGCTTGCGTCTGGCACAGACGCAACGTTCGATAACCGCCTTTAGAAAAACATGTGCATTGTATCATGCTGCGTTCAGGCAAAACGACCGAATGCTCGCCTTTCACTTCGATCAAATTCGCGTTCGTATTCGTGTCAATTATATTAAACGGGTGTTGGTGTAATAAATAAGCACAAGAATTTCTTCGAAGTGGGGGACGGTATGCATTCGTTCATTTGGTCCGAACATACCATCACTACAAATGCGTCTGACGCATGCGTATTGCTGTTGCGTCCGCGTCAGACGTACGCGTCTGGCGTTCGCCTGCGTCAGCAGCAGTCTAGACGCAAACGCATTGCAGTCAGTTTCAATAATAATACGGATATACATGACGGCAAAATTTCAATTTTCTTCCAAGGAGGACGAAAAATTAATAGAAAATGTCGCAAATTACCCTTTCCTTTATAATATATGCGATGAAAATTATAAGAATCATGAACTAAAAGAAAACGTTTGGAAAGAAATATCATATGAATTGAGAAGAACAGGTAAATATTCGATAATTATATTTTTTTTATAATAAATACAGTTGGTAATAAATAATAATAATTAACAGTTAATTGATCTTCGAGTAACGCGGGAATTAGAGACACAGATATCCCGCTGAAAATTTGTGTATAATTTTTGTCTCTCCAGAAATTTAATTATTCTAAAATTTAATTAATTTTATTTTACATATATATATTATATAATATATATACTATATATTATATATATTACTCTAGTCTTATAATAAAATAAATTAAAGAAAAGAAATGTTACTAAAAAAATTATGTAATATATACACTATATATTATATATATTACTCTATTCTTATAATAAAATAAGTTAGAGAAAAGAAATGTTACTAAAAAAATTATACGGTAACCGAGGAAACTCATAATATTCAATCAGTAAAAAGTGCATATATAACTAAATCTACAATCATAATTAAATTGTTCGAGAGCCAACAACTATAGTTGTTCAAATTATGCTCATAAAAGTTTGTATGTTATACTTATTTGTCATCGCAGTGAATCTCTCGCAATGTATTAAAATACATCTGTCTCGAAACATTAGTGAAACCACTTGATCTAGCCAAAGCAAGAATAACATATATATATATATATATACATATATACATATATATATATATATGTTCATTTTATAATTATGCTATCGACAGATGTCATTAATATTAAGATATTCGTTACGTGAATGATTAAATTTGTAATTTCTGGTAGTAGTTCTATTCCAGAATAAAATATTTGAAAATCCTGAATTAAAATTGCAAAGGCATTTTCAGATACCCTTCTGGCATTATAATCGAAAATTGTGTTTTTTTCGTGTAAGGTATTTCGTGTAAGTTGATTTTTGAAATATAGTATCATTATAATTTTATAATAGGAAAAAGAAATTTTCTTAAACGAATTTGTCATGGATTTTTTGAAAATGTCACTACAAAAATTTGAACATTTCTCCAACAAGAAATCTATAAAAAAAAAATATGTTATCAATTTATTTTAGCTGCTGATTGTAAAAAAAGATGGCGGAATATTAGAGACACATTTATGAAAATAAAACGGGGTAACAAACATGGCAGGGGGTCGACAGCGAAACCGAAATCCAAATGGCCATTATTGCAGCAATTAGGTTTTTTAGATAATGTAACTTCTGAGAAAAGGTAAATATCTCGTGTGCACGATATAAGTTCTAAAATACAATAATTTAGCCACTTTACTTTATAATAGTAATAGTAATATGGATGATTTGCAAGAGGATTCAGAAAACAGTATCGAAGAAAAAGTTTCAATAGAAACATCAACAATTACTTCGACACCATATGTACCGCCTTTGAGAAAAAGAAAATTACATCATACACAAAACACAAATGTAACGAAAAAATTCAAACACGAATTAACTAAAATTTTAGACTTACTAGAAAAAAGAGCACTTGAAAGACAGACATTAATAGAAAATATTAATAAAATAATAGTAGAAGATACCGATCCTGTTTGTACATTTTTCAAAAGTATGGCGATGACTGTAAAAACATTTCCACCACATTTAATTGCAGAGGCAAAATATCGAGTTTTTGAAATAATCAATGAATTAGAAAAAAAGCCATTAGAACAATAGCGTGTGATATAAGTGAAATAAAATTATTTTTAAATAATTAATTTGCCTGAATTTTTTTAAAATTGGATATTTCGCCTTTCTAGATGATGTTTTTTTCTAAATTTATCGTTAATATTTAAAACCAAAATCAATTTACTTTTATTTAATCTAACCGTATAAACTCTTATTTATACCTGTTTATTTTTTTGAAAGTATTAAAAGAATTTCCTTATCTTGTTCTTTTAACAGTAAGAATAGTAAATCGTGGTTCATTTTAAAAGATTTTATTCTCATTTCAATACTGAACTCTATTAAACTCTGTTTACCTGAATATGTATGTACGTATATATGATTCACTCTCTCTATCTCTCTCTCTCGTAGAAAATTCTATCTGCGAGTAAATACTGCGTCTAGCCGAAACTCTGACGCACACATATATCGAGATACGTTTGCATCTGATACGTATAAGAAATACTACTTTAACTAGAATGAGAAAAGTATGTATTTATGTACATTGTGTATGATACATTAATCATCAAATTATTAAGTTTATAGTTATTATACCCATTATCAATAGATATTTATTTCACCAGTACCTGGGCATGAGAACAAATTTCTAATAATGGATACAAATAGAGTTTAACCTCAAAATTCTAAACTAAAAGATATCTTACAAACTAATGATCCCTTATTTTATTTTAAATTATTATAATTTTATTACTTTGATAAACTATGAAAATTTTATCACTGAGAATAAAAACAGATTGAATACAATTGATTGAAAGTGGAAATAATTATAGATTAATTCTTTATCAAACTACATTTTTGAAATCAATATTGAAGTTGTATTCAATTTTGTCTTAATTACAAAATGTGCCTTTGTGCCTTTTAATATGTAAGTGTTTTTTACATTTAATGTGGTATTTCTGTATGACAAAAATTAATCTATGTTATTTTATTTAAAATTATAGCGAAGCTTGTGTTTAATATATTTTGTGCTCAAGCAGTTTACACTCAAACTGGGAGGCAGAATTAAATTATTAGAAGAAATAAAAATTACAACTTTTAGATAAAAAAATTCATTAATATATGATCTTTGTTCAGAAGTCATCGGGGAGATGTAGAATTCTATGGTGAAAGTGAAGATTATAAAAAATCTGTATAAAAAAAAGGTAAAACTTTGTTAAATTTAAAACATTAATAATAATAAAAATTCTAATAAATTTTCATAACAATAAAACTTGTACTTATATTAGATATAACGAGCAACGCAAGAACTAAATTCTTCAGATATCAAAGCTGAGTAATTATAATATATTTAAAAAGAAAGAGAAAGAGCAAATAACTTCTGTTTGAAGTAATTGTATCAATCAACAAAACGGCAGTTCAATCCTTTCAATTACTTTTTAATCTATATTCTAAAAATCATAATTTCTTTACATAATAATATTACTTTGTTCTTTCTTTTTTCCTTATGTTTTTGTTAAGTTAAGAAAATAATAAATAATAAACAAATAGTAAATATTTATTATTTTATATCAATTACAATCATATTGATTTAAATTCCAAATATTCTAATGTAAAACCTTAAACAGTTTAATTAGAGTATATACATTATACGTACATATATTAGTGATCTTTAAAAAAGCTATAAATGATGATTAATAAATTTATATTTTATAGATCTCTATGTAAAGCATTATATGTATTTCAGTAGATGTATAAAAATATCATTCTGCTTCTTGAAATATCAATTGAATTAATTATATTACTCGACGTTATTTGTATTTGCATAATGCAGAATGAATTAATGAAATTGTATAATAAGTTAATATACAAGGTAGAAAGTCATTTTTTTTCTACAAAACAAAAGAAAGCTTCAAAGCTCTCAAAACATCACACAAAAATGCAGTGAATGAGAAGTCTATTTTGATTCTTTGGTGGTTGAATATAATTCTCATGTTTGATATAAAAAATCGCATGAGGTATAAAAAAATCTGATTTTCTCAAATTTGGTGCTTCAGAACATAAGATACGAGACTTCGTATCTTATATCTATTTTGTCCTTAGTTAATATCTGCAATCATTGACTAATTACCACAATCTTGTTTTATACTGTCGGTAATGCTAATAGTTATATTAAAAGTTGTAAGAGGGCTCTAAGGTCTTTCAATACGAAAACTGCACTGAGGTTAAATTTATGTTGTATCTCGTCTATGATTATCGTGCAACGAGGTTAGAAAATATCTAACGTTATTAGTTACTAAACATTTATTTCGACTATTTACTAATTTATTACATCAAAACTTCGTTATACATTGTGTATCAATTAACATTGGTCTTGTCCCTAGATACTTACATACTTTTTTTTTTTTAATGACTAGGTATTTTTACAAGGTGTAATAAAAGGGATGAACCTAGCTCAATCTTCCCGATTGATTACCAAAAATCAAAGGCGTAGTTGTCAACAAATACATTTCATATTTAAAGAACGTATTTATGGAACATCGTCAATATTATCATCTGAAGAAAAATCCACTGAGAAAAACGAAAGCGACGTTTCCACAATAGATGATATGTCAGAACCTACGAATTGCTGCATGTCCGGATGCGCAAATTGCGTATGGATTCAATATGCAGAAAAATTGAGCGCCACTCTTGAAAAGAGCGATGTAGATGTGCAGAAATTAATCATGGACAAAGTACAGGATCCTAACATGAAAGCGTTTCTTTCCATGGAGCTCCGATTTAGAAATATTATTAAAGATTAAAGATATTGTATATAAAATACTGTATATATGTACATATACAATGTTGAAATTTTAGACAATAAATCCTTATGTTAATTTAATTGACTATTCATTTAATTGACTATTCATTCTCGTCTTGCAATAACGATTTTTGAATCTCTTCCAATTACTATGTAATCGAAATAGGCTATGAAAATGAAACTATATGCACAGATACAGATACTTCGTCTATGCTATATATACGTGTTATGTAGTTTTGCATTATTTCTGGAAACTCTTATTGTTTTAAATATACTTTCTACATATAGATCAATAATTTGTCACAATTGCAAACGATTTCATAATTACTCACCTTTTTTTCGCAAGAAGTTTCACCTTGAACATTCAGCCGCGAATTTCAGCTGCTTGAAATTTTCGAAACTACTGCAGCGCCATTTGCAAAGGTTTACTACGTGTTTCCAGATGGCGGTAGATGTACGAAAGCGACTTGATTTTGTAATACCCCTTACAATTGCCTTGTAATTGCAACAAAAGTAACGAATATTTCAAGTCCAGAGTTTCCATTTGTATCTTTTTATTACTATTTATCCAACTCGTTCCGTTTACAAGATTCCCGAGACGTGATAACCAGTTTCTTCATTAAAAGGTAAAAGAAACCCAAGCATTGCTGTTATACAATCATTCGAAATTGTAAATTGAAATGCAAGACGTTCTGTTAATACATTTATAAATTTAACAAGTATGAAAAAAAAAATGAGGAATAAAAAAGCAATACAAAAAGGGCAAAATAACAATAGGACGATAAATACTACTTATGACTATGTGTTGGAAAGCAAATAGTATGCTGTCACATGATATGATAACTTTGTATTTTCGTTTGATACGAGTTGAATTTCAATCGGCATCTGAAACGTTTCGGTGTTAGCAACGCGGCAAGACTTTCACGCTCTTTAATGGGACTAATTAAAATAAGTTTAGATTGATCACCAATGTGTGTTAGTACCGTTCGTACCGATAATCTAGTATTACAAGTATTTTCGCGCACCGCTTACATTACGTGCACGCTTATTTACATTGCATACATATGTATAAAGCCACTTGTGCCGCTTACGCCAGTCAGGAGAATGTAGTGTGACACGTACTGACGTGTTGGCGAACGAGGAGGTGCACTTATGTAGCGCTCTCTTTTTTTTTCCTATTCCTGCAGCTGGTAGCATGGAAATCAGCGGAAAAAATTCGGCAAACATGCCATTCGATTTCTCCTACAATTAAGTCGGTTAGATTATTGCAACCTGAAAATTTCTAATCGATGTACCTCGGGAGATTTCTATTTGTCATGAACATAAACAGAGCAGAGGATTGTTTATATAGCAAAGCGATATGGGTCACTGCTAGCATGAGCGGATAATTATGTAAACGAATAGAAAAATGGCTTGTGCTTTGCAAGATATTGAATATCATCGCTTCCTTACTAACCTTCTTGCGAAATATATAATATACTGCTCACTAAAAAAAAGCATTTGATTTTTTTTTTTTTTTATTAAACAAGAAAAGCAAACGACGTATATATATATATATATATATATATATATATATATATATATATAATTTAATAATATATATATATAAATTATTTATATTATATATATAAATTATTATTTTTTTTATATTTTTAAATTATTTAATAATATTATATATAATATTATATATATATAAATTATTTAATAATATATATATATATATATAATTTATTTGTCTTCTTTTAAATTATTTATATTATATATATAAATTATTTAATAATATATATATATAATTTATTTGTCTTCTTTTTTTATGGCTTCATATTCATTTTGAAATATCCCCTAATTTATGTGAACAGTGTATTTCCATTATTGAAGAATTCTCTCTTTGTTTTCGTTTTAAAATTGTGTGCTAAGAGAACATAGCGGGTCAAACAAATTTTACAGCTTTAAGAGCACACGTGCAAACTATAGGCGTACAGAGTACAAAGTCGCTTGTTGCAACAAGCAAAACAATTTCACAGCGAGCGATTTTCCCTGGTCATCAAACAAAAGTCAGTTTTAGAGTCACGTAGAAGCCATTTTCCGAAATTCTCTCAGAATCATTTGTGCAACTGCCATTTTCTATTCATCAAAAATACAGTGCATTACGCTATAAAAATATCGTCTTACAACAATCTAATTGTTCTTATCGACGAGTATCAGATTCCCTCTTACACAGATGAAATTTACAATCTTGAAACTTACATACACCATGGGCTTAAATTCGTGTAAGTCGTAAAATTCAGGACGAATCTATGGTTTAAAATAGGGAATAGAAGCGCTATGTCTGTAAAATGAATTTTTATTGCAATTTTTTAACGTGTCATTTTTTATTGTTTCATTAATGATATAAATGAAGCGAAATTTTATAGCTCAAGATAAGATGATGGTAAAGTATAACAAAATTACAATTAAATTGGAGACATAGTTTTCAGAAATGAACAAATGATTGGATGTCACTCTATACGTAAAAATCAGACCTCGTTTGAAATAAAATGTAATATACCATAAACAAACGATTCAAAATTTAATTTTTTCGAAAACAAATCTCTAAATGGAAAAATTTTCTTCTGTAGTTTCCATACATATTATAACATATTATAAAACAACCTTTTATTACTCGTCTATACTTATCGATATAGAAATTCACGTAAGTTCACGTATGCATATACAAGAAATGTTCAAATTTGATTTTCTCGACAATCTCATTGAAGCGTAGAGTTCATTTGTATCAGAAAATTAGACTCACAATATGTTCTATATAATGGTGTAGCAATAGGACTTGCACAAAAAAAATTTTTTTAAATTACAGCAAATATCCAGGTCGAAAACATTGGTTAGAGCGGCTTCACATAATCTTATCTCCGGTTCTCCCACATGTCAAGTCTTTCTATCGCCAGTACATTCACGCACGGCTCTATTTCTATGCGGTACGTGTGTCAATGTGACGTATTTTCTTCCCACATGTACACAAACACGTACACATAAATATATTCACCATTTGGTAGGCGCGTTCACGCGTACCTCTTCGCACACCGATATACCACACGTTCAAACAATGTTCGCAAAGTAGCGCACACATTCAACAGCAACGATTTTAAACACATTCTACTTCGTCGGTGTGCGATCGCGCGCGCGCGCGCGCGCGTGTGCGTGGATTATTTTCGCTTATACCGCGGCGCACGCAATCTCAGAAGTGGTTCTCGCGTTGACAGGTTCCGAGCGAGTTTTCGCCGGCATCGAGCCCCGATCGGCTAGTGCTTCGAACAAGGGATTCACGATTTCTAGATTCTCCTCGAACATTGTCAAATTCGACGCCACCGGCGATTTTTCGATTCGATCGATCATCGTGGGAATTTCAGTATTTAGAGAGATCGAGAATTTTAGACCAGAGGGAACAAAGTGTCCTGAATTCACTTCGAAACAATGTGATATCTACCAGAAAAAGAGAGAATCAATCATCGCTGTCACTTCGAACACTTGATAGACTCTAACGCTTCAGGAAAGAACTATTGATGTCTGGATCCTCTTCGAACATCGTGAAATTCCGCGTATCAATCCTTTTTAAACTCGGCTAATGAGTCCGATACTTTCTAAATTTTTCCTGAACAGTGGGATTCACTGGTGTAAGAAGAATGACCGTCATCGTTGAGATGAAAGACCAGACTGATCAACGTTTTTGACGAAACATCGGTTGCAAACATCTTTTCGCCGTGAAATCCAGTAGAAAGGAGAGATCGCGTTTAATAGGAAACGTAACACGCGGAGGAATTCTTGTACAACGCGTGCAGAACGTGATGCACGCTTTGCTGGTGCTTAGGTCAACGTCAAAGAGAAAGAGAGAAAGAATCCCTGTCGTGGGGAATTATGAATGATCCTCGGTACGAGGATGATGGCGAGCCGGCCCCGTGTACCCGGTTGCTGGAAATAGCGTGCAATCTGCGCACGGAGACGTCGACAACTGGACAAATACGTTTGTTCCTCGCTTCGTTCGCTGTGCGTCAACGTGCTATCGTTCAATCGTGACAAACAGGAACCTTAGACCGGTTGTATAAGTATTCACGGTGAAAATCGATTATGACATTAATTAAAATTCTTCTTCTTCTCATCTCGTTTGAGGATTCTTGTGCAAACGTACCGCGCGTCAAGTCGCTTTCATCGAGTCGCGACGAAGGAGAACCTCAGACCATTTCATTCGAAATGAAAATTTGTTATACGAGAGCCAACCAGTGAAATTTGTTTTTCTTATCGATCCGAGGATTGTTGCGCGAATGCGAATTGAAAGAAATTTGATTATCGCGATGATCATGGTCGGACGGATCCGGAACAGTGATAAGAATGACGAAGCGGGACGAGAATAAATGATAGCATATGTATGTACGGTCGCGGTTGTACGAGAAATCGTACGACGCGTGGACGTGGCCGTGGAACTTCAGACGCAAGTGTGAATTTTAAGAGTGCTCGGTTTGCATTGTAGATGAACGAACGTTGTTTCAATTCATTGACTTAACGATAGTGCTATCGACTATTTCGCTGTAGGTTCAACTAACATAATCGACGGTGCTCAATTCAATAGAAAATTATATCCACATGTCGTAACCAGGAAATATGGTAACATAACAGAAAAATGATTTGAAATAATCTCATTGGGTAGAAGTGTACCGTGAGTGGCATTCGTGGCGAATTGTAAATACGATTGACGTACAACGCGATGGTGCTCGACGTTTGAGAAACGTGTTTCAGATTATCGTCCGATTTACAGTTTGTGAATCAGTCGTTCTGGCAACAAAAATCATCGTTAAAACTTTATGACCATTGATAAGGTGGTATCTCGTTGCTGAAAGCTGTGGAAAAGTTTATAACTCTGAATCTCTTATAAAATTTTCCTCCAATGAGTTCGAATAGAAACATTAGATGATTTTCGAGAAAAAGAAAATTAACTAGGTAGAATCATTAATTTCCACATCTTCTTCGAACACCATCGAATCAATGGTTCGATTGATCTCTAAATGTTTCTTGAAATGCGTAGAATTCAACAAGGAAAAAGGAGAATGAACACCGTCAATAGGAAACGGTCATCAATTAATCAATGCTTTGGCAAAAGGATTGTGAATTTCTAGATTCTCATCGAACGCGTGTTTTGTAAACTTTTTCCATCTCCTTTGTGTTCAGTGCTAGTAAGATCTATTGTTTTTTGATCACCTTTGAACCTCGTAGAATTTTTGAGCGTTCAAACAGAGAAGTTCAACAGTTTCTAGATGTGAGACGAGATCTTGCTTCTTATTGTATTGATAGAATTGACGAGCAAGTTGTAAATAAAGGAGGAAAAGAGACACGGGAGGGGACTAGAGATTGTCGAACGAAATGCTCATAACCGAAAAGGGTTCTTTAACGAAAGAAGGAATCAACGAGGAATCGGATGAGCATACGATCGCCACCGACAACAACACAGTGCCATTGAACGATCTGCTGGTGAACTCGACGCGACCTACGACCGCGGTTGCAATAAAAGTGTGCGATGTCTCTGCAGACGAGACCGAAAGAAGCAACAACGAGAAACAGAAACGCGGTATCCTCAGCAACTTCCAGAGAAGGACTTTCAGCAGAATCAGCTTCAAGGGAGAGACTGGTCCTTTACTGAGCAGGTGCATTTTTTATTTCGTTTTCTTTTTTTATTCATATGTACATAGACATTTCTATGTATACACATATACACTGGCGCTCGAGAATCTTAACACTTTAAAACGATAGTTGCGTGTAAGAAACATGTATTATTTATTAGAACTTATTTATCATTGTAGACGTTTTATAAATAATTGTATAATTCAGTTATTTTAACGTGAATTACTATTTTAACAAGAATTGAACTCATCAATATAATTGATTTCAGACTTTCCTTTCTCAAAAGTGCTTAAATATTCTTGTCAAAATTAATATTCATTTCTGTTTGGATAGAAATACAGTTGTATAGATTCATTTATTTCAATTATCATTTAAATTATAAAAATTTATATGTAGAATATTTTGACATGGTTGTTCTAGTGTTAGTAGATCTTTTATAATAAATTAATATTCTTATTAACCAATGTCAAATATATATGTGAAAGTGGCTGCCGTAAAAGTGTTAAGACACATTTTTTTTTTTTTTGTTTGTTATATTCAATAGTTGAGCCGTTCGTTTACCAAATCAATTAACTATACAAGAGAAAAGTAGAGAAATTGATTGAATATAATATATTTTATAAAACTTTTAATAAAATAGTACACTTTTTAAAAATTCTTTGTAAAATGGTATCACAGGGTCAGGTGACTATAGTAATTTGTATTACATTATGAAAGTTTAAACTATTTAATTTTGTTTTGTGTTTTATATTTTCTCCGACATTAGAGATTAGCAATAAAATTAACTGAAATCGAAGATTTCAAAATCAAGCAATTTTTTTATAGCTTAGAGTAGATATTCGAATTTAATTATTCATTTAAAGGTTGACATGGACCTAATTATTATCAGTATATGAATGCGTTAGTAGTTAGATTGCGTTTGACTACATTTTTAGAAAACTAGGATACGCAGCAATATGTTGTCTATAACATGCAGAAACACATAAAATTTACAAAATACGTCTCTCTTGTTATGAGCCTGAAGTCATTTCGTAGCCACTGTAATCCACATTATAAACGCTTCTCTTTTAACGTCTCACTAAACGTTGAACGTTGCGAAACAAAAATAATTCACGCACGATCGTCGAAATCAGCGGGGGAGCCATTTGGAACCGATCCCTCGAGGATTCATTCGGGAACACAGAGATAATTGCGTGGATGGCGCCACGTGATTTTCGGCAGTGCCGTCAAAAATACACGCGACGTCGTCGTGAAAACTGGATCACAATACGAGGCCCGCGCGACTCCGCGAAAATAGCGTCGCTCTCGTTTCCTTGCCACGATCGGCAGAAATCTTGCTTTTCGGGACGAGAATAGAATCGCCTAATTGCGGAAGACGCCTGAAGCAGGGATTCACGACGTCAGCGTCTTCGATCTCTGTCCGCGCATGTACAGATAAAATCTGTTGCGTACAGCGGAGAACGTAACTCAACCACATAACGACGATTTTGCACAATTTTGCAAATTTAGTTTGGTGATTTTAATTTAACCTCTTGCGCTGGAATGACGTGCCTTGCACGTCGAGAACTTTTTGTCACAAGATGTCTGCAACATTTTCTCAGTTTTAAGTATATTTAAATGTAACCCAGGCAAAACAAACGATAAGGTTTATTACTTCTTAATCATTTCTATCCAGTGATATCGTATCGACGAGTTCAAAAGAAAAAGAAAGCGACGAATTATTGTATACGGTTCGGTCGCTCGTTATGGTCCGCGAATCAGTTGTCAGCGCCAGAAGTTAAAAGGAGAAAAGAGCCTTATTTCTGTTGTATATATTTTATTTTTTATTTTTGCTTCTCAGCGTTTTTTAATGACTTGTTTAGTAGTAAATAGAACAGACAGTAGAATAGTATAGTGAGTAAATAAATCTGGCGCGTAATTATCGTTTAATAGTTTCAGCAACTATAGAATGCAAGAGTTGTTCTGTGAGATTTGCAAGTTTGAAAGTTCCTGCATAGTTTGATCCATTTTTGAATCTCATACTTTTCGTTTTAAAAATCTTCAGAATTTTATAATAGAATCGAGATCTAGACACAGCAGATTTTCGTATTCTATGTTAACTTTGCACACTATAATATTGAAATATAATGGTTTCTTCAAGATATATTTTTAATTGTACCTAATTAATTAATATATATAATTAATTGCTCCATAAAATATCTTTGTACATATGAAAGATCAACGAAAAATATGAAGTTTTAACATTTCTCAGAGAACGAGAATTTATTTTGTAATGTATAATGCCACAACTTCATATTTTTTTATATGATAAAATAAATTGTAAAATTATTAAGAAAATTTTAATTCGCAATGCGACTGTGATAAATAAGAGCATAGAAAAGAAATGTTATGTATCATAATTCAACATTTCCTTCATATACTTACTGCTTCTGTGTGATGCAATGAATAAAAAATTAACACCAATGTAATAAACTTACTCGTGCCATACGAAACTCAGCCAATGAATATTTCTTGTTACAAACAACTAAAAAATATTCGCAGCTTTGAAAAATTGGTGAAATTAGCGTTAATTGTGCAAAATGTTTTCTGTAATATGTATTTTTCATGCAATTAACATCAACGATAAAGTAGAATTATTGTATTTGTTGGTTTAGGCAACGGAAATGTTCGTTTTCTTTTACTTTTATATTACGTGAATTTTTTTTAAACTTTTTGTATTACACACAGAGAGCGAATTTGTTTTAATTTGAAATGCTAATTTTTCATTTCTTTATGATTTCCTACCAATTTTATGGAATCATTTGATAATCAAAAGTGTCGAAAACTATTTCGAACCAATCTTGATATAATACACGCTCATCTTCTTCTTCTTTTAATGAGAAGAATTATTAGATTCTGTTAGATGATTCTGTTAGTCTTAGATTAGATTCTGTTTGTGAGAAATGTGGAAATATCTAAAAATGAAACAACTAGAAACAAATTATTTATATAATATTAAAAATAAAATTGTATATACAAGTTATTGTATATACAATAATATTTAGATGAATGATTTGGATGAATATTTTTAATGAAAATTTATTTCTATTCAAATAAAATTTATGTATTAAAAATGATCATGAAAATCATATTAGAAATGATCATAAATTATCATTTATATCATGTATCTGTTACATTTTTATATTTCTGTGCTCTTATGTCATTAAAGTTTTAAATAAAAATAGATCTTTTATGCGATATATGAGAACTTTTGTAGATAACAGTACATTTACGTTTCTATTTCTTATCAGCACACACCTGTAAAAAGAAAAAAAGTGAATACACATCCACAGTCCATTAATGATTATCTAGTGTACTCTACACTAACATTTTGTAACCACTTTACCGTACAAAAATTTTGAAAAACCTGGTAGACTGGAGCCATTATATGTTATATGAATAAATAAAATTTTGCACAATAATTTGATGATTGTTAATAATAGTTATTTGAAGATAATTTTTGAACAAATGAAATTTGATTAATTTATTAATTTACATTTCGTGCATTTTTATTGAGAACAGTTCAGACGAATTTCTATTTATAACAAGTGCTTCAATTCTATTATTCATCATTTAAATTTAATTAATCATTTGAAGCAAAACAGACTGTTCCAAAGGCATGAAAATCACTTCTATTCCAAAGTATGAATTTTATTTATCAAAGTATTACTGTATTATTTTAATTTACTATATTAAAATTAATACCAACTGATTAATTTTTTTCCAGAAATTAATAATTATTTAATGCACTTATTTTTTGTAAGAATTTTCGCTATTATCCATCACGATCTATTAAAGACCTGAACTGGCTCATAGATTTAGAAACGCTGCTCTATTTAATTGCAATTTAATCTAGAGGAATCATTGCACGGGATTAACCTCCATTGTAATTAATTTGTGAAAGTTACCATACTTAAACTGATAGCCACATTTTACTGCCTCTGAATTCCTTCTTTCCAACGGTGCTAATATCTCAAAGAAACGGACGAAGTATTACAAATGCCACGAATACCACAGGTTCCAGTGGTGAAGAAACCAATCCATTTTCTCTTGGTCAATCTTTCAGTAGAACAACTTCTGTTCTTGCGGTTACGTTTTATTGGCACCAGTGTATGAAGTTGTTCACTTTGATCAATTCAGTCATTAACCGATATGTCGACTTCTCGATTTTTGCCACAGATAAATGCATCTTATTTCTACAAAATGAGAATTTTTTATAATAGAGATTGTTTCAAAGGGAATATGCTATCGAGATCATTACATGTTCTGTTTCTGTGACAATGATTTGTACATAGTATGTAGAAAAATCTCAAGTTAATACTTAAATTTATTAATAAAAATCTCAAATTAATACTTAAATTTATTGCGCCGGGTTTACATTAGTCCAATCTCTGAATCAAGCGGTTACATTCCAGTGGTGTGATTGGAAATCGATCGATGTCTACTCGTTATTTCAGTCTTTTTTGAACTACTGTCAGTGGTAGTGGATTTGAGCAAAAAACGGAATATTTGTATGTGAAATATGCTCTAATATTAATTAGATATAGTTAATGATATATAATGAAATATAATGAAATATTGATATAATTGATGAAGAAATTATTTTATTATTTTATCACAAAAAAAATATATATATCATATTAATATTATATATTATTATATATTATATTATATATTAAATATATTGCATTAAATATAATATAATGAAATATTGATACAGTTGACGAAAAAAAATGAAAGACGAATTTAAATGTGAAACTAGTTATCTTCATTTTCTATACCAAAACTTTTAATTTGAATGTCAACCATTCTCGAGACATTTCGTTGTAAAGAAAATTTTCGCATTTTTTTTCAAGGAGTGATTGGAACCAAACTATGGCGCGAAAAAAATTAAAGTGCGAGTTTTCACACGAATTACACGTGAATGAACATACAATTTTTTGATTTTCTAAATTCTCCAACTTTTCTTTGAAGTTAAAGTTTC